AGGCATTCTCGGAGGTTGAGGGGTCTGTTGGAAACTAGGCAAGTGGGGTTTATGTATCTCTGGAATGTCCAGGGTGGGAGAAAGAACTCTTGCCTTGTCTGCCAATGGCAACATTCCCACTTGCCTCAAGCAGACAAGAGTTCTTTCTCCCACTCTGGACATTACACAGATATATAAACCTCACTTGCCTAGTTTCAAACCAATCAACCTAGAAGCACACACCATATTATCTGAACTCCTGCGTGTAATCGCTATGACAAATATGTAAATCAGTAGATAAAGAGAAACATATGAATCAAAGGGACACATCCAAACCCAGTTTCTACACCAGTTAATTATGCTTGCCCATGTTTTTTTTTTCCCCCAGCCACACTCAATTAGCATCCAACGCCTTATCATTCAAGCCACAAGGCAAAGTATTACATCTAAACCGGTTTGGTTTGATTACATTTCCCTTCCAGCAATCCCAATAGAGAGCATGGCAAGTAATTGTAGGGGACTTATAACATATAGGATTTTATTGCATATTAGCACCCAGCATCGATTGTACGCACATGCTAATTCCAAATTCCGAAGGCGGAAGACGCTTGCATAAATTGGTGGCTGGAACCCATTAAAATATGCGCTAGAATTAGAAGATGCTAATTCACCATCTTGTGGTAACAATTACATGGAGTAAGAGACTTTCAGCTGCATCAATAGATAAATTATCTGCTTATACATTGCCACACAGTCTGATATCACATTTCCTGGAAGGCAAAAGACATAAAAACATGTGCATCTGAGAGCAACAGGCATCAATGTAATAGCAACCATTTCAAAGGTTATCTTAAGCATGCTATATCGTCATATTCTTCTAAGGAGTTTCATCTTGTGCTTTCTTGTTGCTATGTTTAACTTATGGTGATCATATCATAAGGTTTTCTTGGTGAGATTAATTCAGAAGAAGTTTGCCATTGCCTTCTGCTATGGCTGAAAAAATGTGACTTGCCCAGGATCACCTAGAAGGGTTCTGTAGCCAAGTAGGTATTTGAACCCTTGTCTTCTAGGGTACTAGCACAACATTTAGACTACTGCATCATCATAGTTACTTTATGCTATATAAATCTTATCAAAAGGTAGGGAGTTTAATTGGACTGGCCTTGGGAGACAAATTACCCCCCACCCCAGCACTGGACTATTCTCATAGTGGGCAACAGACTCTCCCAATGGGTGACAGATTCTCCCAGCATGAAGGAGAGGGTCTCCTTCATGTCTTAGCTAAGTCCCAAATCAGATTTGTTCCTTCTACACCTTCTCAGAAGGAAACTAAGCTCAGATGAGGTCTTGAGGAGCACTTTTTCTCAAGGCTATGGCAGAGTCCTAAGACAGTTTAGCTCCTCACCTGGTAAACAAGAAACAATGACAACATGGCCCTGAGGACTAAGATCACTGACTCTCCCATTGCCTCTTCCATCTGAGTGATGGAGCTTTGAGATGAAGCTCCATCACTTTGACATCAGAACTTCAACATCTCTGGGCCATGGATTCCCCATCACTGGGCCATCTTGTGGGCTAGATGTCTGTTTTTCTACCTTACTTGAACAAAACAACTATCTTGTCAAATGTCTAATTTATATGTTTGAAGTAGGGATGGGAAGAATATTAAAAAATATTTGAATTTTTATAAAACCATGTTTCCTGAGTGTCAAGAAACTCTGAGGGAATGAATTTGACCAGAAGCTTTGCAGTCAAGATTTATTTTGTGGGGAAAAATTATGTGCATGTGGTTGTTTCATACAAGAAACATGATTTTTTAAATGTGTTAAATATCATCACAGAAATGATGACTTCTATAGAAAATGATCCTGTTTCTAGTATAGAGAAACATTAAAAAGCTAGTGCAGGCTGAAGCAATTTTTTCCTGGTCATTTAGCAATCATATCAGACAGGTTTCGGAGGAAAGGGGGCAACAAAATGAAAACCTTTCCAGAAAAATCCAGTAATATAGGAAAAAGGTTTATCAGCTTCTCACTGTGAACACATGAGACCAGACTCATTATCTTCACTGCTCAAAGAATGAATCCTATTACTGAACAAAAGCAAATTACACTAAAAAATTGGAGCACCACAATTTTACTTTAAAATCCAGGGCTCCATCCTCTGGAATCTGAGAATTTGTGGTTTCAAGTGCCATTTAGAAGTGCCAGGGAACTCTTGAGATACACCAAAGTAAAACCTCCAGGATTCTGAAAGATGTAGCCACAACAGAAAATGGGATCAGCGCTATAACTTTGCAATGTGAAAAGGTCCTGTAGATTTTATGTAAGACAGAAGACAACACGATTACCATATACTCGTGTTGATGTTTCTCAAATGTGTAAGTTAGAAAACTCCCCAAATGAAATGGCAAAAGCCCAGAATGCATCTACTGGTTCCAAATCTTTTATGCAGCAGTAGGACCTGGAATTTCATTTTGTTAAAAAACATTATACAATGATGTCACTTTAATTTTGTTTCGAAATTAATTTTCCGTTTGTCACTCAGTAAGGTTGGTCACAGCTTAATTACTTTTAAAACTTTAAAAAGAACATTATCAAATAGAAAAAAATGGGAAATATGAACTTGCCAAACACTATATTTGCAAGTAAAACAATCATTTTTGCTATTATACCAGAAGCAACAATATTATGATTTCTTCAAGGATTTTTATACTCTGATTACACAACAAAGTAAGATGTTTCAAGAACCATAAATACTTTTCAGGTTTTGCTTCTTCTCCTTGCGCAGAAGCCACTTCGCATTTGCCACCCAAATTTTTGCAGTGTCCCAAATAAAAACAGATAGCAATCTGATTAATTACTTACAAGGTTTGCATGATGCAAGCTGATGTTCTGAGGACTTCCATCTTTGACAATTTGCTGCTAGAGTGCCACCTACTGGCAGGCAATTCCAAGCACACAAGGCAATTCACGCTTTCTAACTCAGATTTTTCCTTCCAGATTCCTAAATATCAGATGACCATGCCTTGAAATTATAGCTAATCTGTAGTACAAGATATCATTTCTGATTTTTTTTACTGATTTACAGTTTTTGATCCAAAGCATGTGAGTCAATAAAAGAAAATACAAGCCATGCTGTAAAGACTGTAAAGGCTTCATCACAAGATGCATTGTCAACATGGGGTGTGCTACTACAAGTAATAGCAATGTCTATCAAATCAGAAAGTTTTAAAAGGTAAGGAGAGAAATTCATAGAAGATCAAGCTATCCAATTCTAGAAGTCGTTTTACTTATATATGACACAATGTCAAAGAAAGTAAATTGGAAAGACACATGGAAGATGCTTATTTTACACACACACTTGATCTTAGCCAAAAGGCCGAGAAGCTATGCTTATTCCATTTGTGCCTTGCATGTATACCTCCCATGGACAACAGGTTGGCCATAGGATGATGGATAAAATAGGCCTGAATCTCTAAGTTTCTTCTTATGTTCCTATGGGATTTCGATGCCCTCTGCCTTTTCTCTCCACCCTGTTAAAAAAGAAGCACCCTTTGGATTTTTCTCTAATCAGTTCTGAATCTATGTTTACTATTTTGATAGTTTTATTCACTAGCCAAATGGGCAGTATTCATGCTCAAGTTTTGGTGGTGATAACTCATTTAACAAATCAGTCGATCCATTAATCAGCTCAATTATTTTTGCAATCCCAGCTACCTTTTATTCTTGCCATGGTCATTGCCAAATGTTATTACATGAGAAACCAACATTTGTCCTGCTCTGTGGGGATTTGATGGGCAAGCGGTCACTATAACACACTTCAGCACCACAGAAAATTGCTGATGTTGCTACCAAATTTCAGCATATATGTGGAAACCCTAGGGGTGGCAATGTGCCCCTCAGTAAGTCAGAAGGATCAGTGTTGACCCCTGCCATTCAGAAGTAACTCACCTCTGGTACAGTGGATACAAGACTAAGCTGTGGATGACTGAGTCACTGGTTCACTCTCTTTCACCTACCACAGTGGTTCCCAACTATTTTTTTACCAGGGACCACTTTGACCAGGGACCATTCTCCAACATTAGTACCAAAAGGATTACAAATAAGTTTTTCATCAACTTTAGATTCAGTTTGGCTATTTGTTGATTCAGAAAATTGCATTGGATAGATCACATTAGCTCTAGTTTCTGATACAAAACATATGACATCCAGTAGTCGCCATCTGCTCTCCTACAGAAAACCATGTTTAATAATATAGAGCTGATGTGGTCTATCAAATGCAATTTTCTGAATCAGCACACCAAACAATCCCAAGAACAGGCCTGAAAACAAAGACACCAAGGCACCCACTTCCAGGTGCCACGTGGAATGGCTCCGCTCAGGGGGAGGGAGGGGGGGAGGAGGAGAAGCAGAAGTCAGGAGGCTTGTTGTCACATCTTTCATGAGTCGTCAGTCTCTTCCCTCCTGACATCCCCATTGCCTTGGCACTATAAGAGTGTTTCGCGAGACCAGTCACTCTATTTGCCATAGTGTAATAACGGTGAGCCTGTGGACCATATTTTAGTTCTTAGGGGCTACTGTTAGTCCACAAACCACAGGCTGGGAACTACTGATCTACCAATAGCTAAGTAAAAGCAAGAACAACCACAAAATTCTTCAAGTACCACAAAGAGTATCAGTGCAAAATGAAGGTAATAATACTCACCTATCCTAAAAAAATTAGTTGGAAAGACTACTGAGATAATGGACACGAAACATTCCAAACAGAGAAACTTATAATTCAATCATAATGTTTCCAAACTGAAAAAAACAATGATGGTTTCTGGAAGTGGGAACAAGCTCAAGAGCTCTCTTCTTCCATTTTTGACCTCTACAGAAAAGTAAGCTAAGCAGTAGTTTGAAAATAGTTTACAGGCAAAGCTTGAAAATTCCTCCTAGTATTTTTTGGCTTCAGTGAAGATTTAGACTGAGCTCCAACAACTCAAAAGAGCCATTTATGACATATAAAGGACAACTTACTTTTCTGTGCCCAGAGATCCATTTTCCTTGTTTTCCATATCAATGGACAGCATGGGGAGGTTAGAAGTGCCTTTTACGTCAGGAACTAGATCAATAAAGAGGAAAGCTGCATTCACTCATAAGCTATAAGCAAAAGAGCAATGTAGTGTTGTGGAAGTTTCCAAGCCTTGGTTTCCTTTTTAAAAGATTGGAGTAAATACATATCTTCCCAATCACAAAGCTCTAAAAGCATTTTGGGTGGCTTCTGTCTGGGGCTTTGACATATTAAATAGCTGTCTTGTCAATCAATAAGAAGGATGTGTGGTCCAAACGACTAACTGCTAAGGCACCTCAGTATGAATCTGCCTTACCCTGATTAGTACTGGGCAGCTTATGGCAAGGTGTACTCTCTAGAGCAGTCATGGGTAAACTTGGGCCCTCCAGGTGTTTTGGACTTCAACTCCCACAATCCCTAACAGTAGGTAGGCTGTTAAGAATTGTGGGAGTTAAAGTGCAAAACACCTGGAGGGCCCAAGTTTGCCCATGACTGCTCTAGACTATGTTTCCTAGCTACAAAATGGCAACACAAAAGATAGTGATATTATGCCTATGAATACAAGTTGGGTTTCAAACTACTATCCAGCTTATATTATGTACTCATGTATAAGTTGACCTCTACATAAGTTGAGTGTAGGTTTGGAGCCAAAAATATGGCTTTTGTAGTGACCCAAGGATAAGGTCATTCTGCAGAGTAGGAAACACAAATGCTGTCTAAATCTAAACATGGTCCATAGGCTTGTTGGAAAAGCCATGTCTTCAATTGTGTATCGAAGGCTTGGAGGGTAGGGGCTAGCTTGATCTCCCTTGCAAGAGCATTCCAAAGATGGGGGGCACCACTGAGAAGGCCCTCTCTCTCGTCTCCACCAGCCGCACTTGAGACGGAGATGGGACCGAGAGGAGGCTCTCCCCAGTAGATCTTAAAGCCCAGGCCAGTTTGCGGGAAGAGATGAGGTCTTGAAGATAGGCTGGACCTGAAGCGTATAGGGCTTTATAGGTAATAACCTGCACTTTGAATTGGGTCCAGAAACTTATCAGCAGCCAGTGGAGCTGCTTTAGATTATGATATCCATCCATCGCTAATCACCCACTCCCACAAACTGAGAAGATATATTTAAACAGACATTAAAGGTCACATGAAAATCTCTGCGGGATCACAACAAAGATTTGAACTGAAAAGACAGAATTTTGAATAAACATGTATAGGATTGCACTATGAAACTTTCACATTGTGGTGCCAATCCTATGCAGATTCACTGGCATTGTGCCAATCCTATGCTCTGTAGGAACTAAGTGTGCTGTAAGAAAATTCATACATTTGACTATGACTGGAGACTAGGGTTGGATTTTCTGCTTTGCCATGGAAACCCATTGGATGACCTTGGGCAAGTCACACAATCTCAGACCCAGAAACTCACATGGTAGGGTGGCCTTAGGGCTGCCACAAATCAGCAATGGCATGAAGACATACAACAGCAACACACTGGTGGGCAATTGTTTTGTTCCCCTCCTATGCTTAAAAGGAACATATCACTACTAAACTGCTTTGCGCGCACACATCATTTTAGAAAGAAAATCCCTGAAAGTATTCACTAGTTAAAATCACAGTATACTGCCAATATTTTAGAAAGCTGTGAAGTCTTTTTTAAAAGAGAGAGAAAGAGAGAGAAGACAGACAATTAAAAACGTTTATTTTGAAAAACAAGATTATCAAGGTGAAGTAGAGCTGTCAACTTATTTGTTCATAAAGCAGGCTGGCAAAGGAATTCATGCACAGTGAAATAAGATCCAGCTGGCAGAAAAAGAAGATCCCAGCTACTACAGTATAATATTCCAGCCCACACAACCATGTGAGTCACAGCAACTGTCTTCAGTGTCATGCCTGATTTTTAAATGACACTGAATTCTCTATGCCCACTCTTTCTGATAGGATTTTTATTAAAATTGCATTCAAACTTATAACCATTTGACTAGATATACCTATAGTTACAGAAGAAATGAACATGAGGGAGGGAGTGCTACCTCCAGCTATATGTATTTAATGACATGTGTGACATTAAACACAAGGTTTGCTAAATAGAAAATGGGCTTTTAAGTCTCCATCTTTTAGGACTGTTTGTATCTCTCCATCAACGCCCCATCTCCTGTATCTTGTCCATGCCTAGCATTATTTTTTAAACTTCAATTACATTTGGCCCAGCCATAGTTTTTAAATGTGCACTGTACCTTGCTTAATGTTTATGCTATTTGTGTATGTGATTTATTTTTTTAATTGCTTTGTATTGTACCTCTTATTGCTTGTATTGCTTGTATTGCGGGCTCGGCCTCATGTAAGCCGCACCATGACCGTTGGGGAGATGGTAGTGGGGTATAAATAAATTATTATTATTATTATTATTATTATTATTATTATTATTAAATCAACGCCTATTTATATATAATAACCATATCATAGGGTTTTACTGCCCAGTGGCGTAGTGGGTTAAAGCGCTGAGCTGCTGAATTTGCTGACCGAAAGGTCATAGGTTCGAATCCGGGAAGCGGCGTGAGCTCCCGCTGTTAGCCCCAGCTTCTGCCAACCTAGCAGTTCAAAAACATGAAAATGTGAGTAGATCAATAGGTACCACTCCGGCGAGAAGGTATGGGCGCTCCATGCAGTAATGCTGGCCGCATGACCTTGGAGGTGTCTATGGACAACACCGGCTCTTTGGCTTAGAAATTGAGATGAGCACCAACCCCAAGCCAGAGTTGGACACGACTGACCTTAACGAAAGAGGAAAATCTTCACCTTTACTACTACCAAGTGGGTTTACACAATCGAGTGGGATTTGAATCCTGGCCCAACACACAAATACTACAACCAGACGGTTTGCTTCCACCGATGGGCTTCTATTCCCACTTGTATTAAGGAATTAGTTCCTTTACCAAAGAGAGAGAAAGAGAGAAAGCACATTTCAAGGCGATTTTCCTGCTTCTTGGCAGGGGGTTGGAAAATACTTAAGGCCATAACCAGACACTCTCCACATCAACACTGACAAAGAAACAGCAAGAAACACTGTTTACCCACAAGCATAAAGAAATTACATATATTAGAAACCAACACTTTCTCATTACTTTATTTTCCAGATCACCAGACTGGGCCACAGCAACAGAGACTGTGAAGGGCAGCGCATACATTTTTCCAGAAAGACACATAGGCCAGGTCAATGCACCAAAAAGGAGGGAGAGGAAGAGCCCAAGCTAGGGCTTTCCGCTGTTCCTCCTTAAGACAAACTGCCAACATTGCTAAAGAGAAGGAAGAGGAGCATGGGAAAATGAGGAGGAGGAAGAGTTTTCTGTTTTGTTACAATAACCACCAATGAGAGGAATCATCACGGTCATCACCTTTGTGACTCCTCCCAGGGACTGGCCTTAGTCCCTGGGGGCTACTGGCCAGCCGCCCGTGGACATTTCTTGGCCAGGATGCATGATGGTGAGCAAAGCCGGTATGCACTCTTCTTTCTTCTATCTACCTCATCTCCCTGCACACGTGCCCTTTCAGTTTCTCTTCCTTATTGCCCCATCATCTCCTCCAATTTCACTTCCTTCTGTGATCATGTCATCGATCCTGCCCTTCACTCTACCAATAGAGTGAACACAGCACTGAATGAAACATGCAGAATAATCACAGGATGTCTTAAACCTATACCTGTTGATAAACTCTACAAGCTAGCTGGCATTGCCCCCCTGAAGTGTGACAGGAAGTTGCTGCTAAATGTGAGAGAAATAAGGTTGAACACTGAAAGCCACCCACTACATGGCTACCAGCCCCCTTCCAGTAGACTCAAATCAAGGAAAAGCTTTATGAGAACTACCACTCCTCTTGGCATCCCCCCAGCAAAGCAAGGGTATCCCTCTGGGCAGCTAAACCAGGAAATCCCAACTGGATGGCTTCCCACGAGGGTCTTCCTCCAGGGGCAAACCAAGAATGGGCAACTTGGAAGTCCCTGAACAGACTCAGAAGTGGAGTGGGCAGATCAAAAGACAACCTAGCAAAATGGCACTACCTAAAAGAATCCCGCAACTGGTGTGACTGTGAAGCAGAACAGACAGCTCCACATCTGTATGCTTGTCCACTATGCCCTCCCTCATGTACAGAGGAAGAATTGTTGGAGGCTACAGACAATGCCATTGCTGTTGCCCGTTTTTGGTCAAAACGTATTTAGTTGCCTGCGCTCCTTCTGTGTTTATCAGTTTCATACTAATTTATGCAATGCTTTTGTTACGATATAAACACTCTACCAATTATGAAGTGGCTGCCGGACTGGAAGAAGGTGGGAAGGTGACTGCTGCGGCACTCTTGCTCATTTATTCACAGGCTTCTCTGAAAACTCCTATAACAGGCGTGGGCAAACTTCGGCCCTCCAGGTGTTTTGGACTTCAACTCCCACAATTCCTAACAGCCAGTAGGCTGTTAGGAATGGGGGGGGGGGTTGAAGTCCAAAACGTCTGGTGGGCCGAAGTTGCCCATGCCTGTCCCATACAATACAGGTGCTGTGTTTTATGTACTTGTAAATATGGGTATTCCAAAATCCGGAAGAATCCAAAATCCAAAAAGCTTCTGGTCCCAGCATTTCAGATAAAGGAGACTCAGCTTGTATTTAGATAAAGGAGACTCAACTGTTTACATTCTGCAAACTTTTGGATTTCTCAAAAACTTGCTGGTTCCTCATATTGTGGCTACATGAGGACCGGCTTTCAAAGCCTCATTGTCAATAATATACGGAATGATAGAAGAGGAAGAAGAAAATAGGACAAAATGCACGTGCAAAACTTCAGGTTGTATGTAAAACCTAAGTGCACTTTCCCGAAATTAGCGAAATACTTGCTAAAGCACTTGGGATGCATGTTAGAATCTTAATTTATCTACAAATTAGACAAAAGAAAGACAGCACCTGTCAAATACGGTGCAGCAATCAGAGAGAATAATGTCATTTAAATCCTGCATTATTATCACACACCTTCAGAATGTTCAAAGTGCTTCATTTCAATGAAGATGATAAAGTAGTTCAAGATTTTCCATACCTTGGCTCAATCATTTATCAGAATGCAGTCCAAAAGGCTAGGCAGTGAAGAATGCTGATAGAAGGAAATCAACTCATGGGAAAGGTGGTGCTGGGGAAGAGTTCTATGGACCCCATGGGCTGCTAAAAAGACAAATAAACAGGTCCTAAAGCATCAAGTCTGAAATCTCCCCAGAAGCCAAAATGACTAATCTGTGACAGTTGTACTTTGGACATATAATGTGAAGGCATGACTCATTTAAAAAGACAATAATGCTTGGTAAAATAGAAGGAATAAGAAAAAAGACAACTATATGACAGAGGGATGAGCTCAATCAAGAATGTATTGTCAAAGGCTTTCATGGCCAGAGTCACTGGGTTGCTGTAGGTTTTTCGGGCTGTATGGCCATGTTCTAGAAGTATTCTCTCCTGACAATGTATTGTTGTAGGCTTGGATGGCTGGAATTACTGGGTTGTTGTAGGTTTTTTGTGCTATATGGCCATGTTCTAGAAGCATTCTCTCCTGCATTTTGCCTGCATCTATGGTAGGCATCCTCAGAGGTTGTGAGACCTCTCAACCTCTGAGGATGCTTGCCATAGATGCAGGCGAAACGTCAGGAGAAATGCCTCTAGAACATGGCTCTATAGCCCGAAAAAACCCACAAGAACCTAACTTAAAACAACCCATTCTCTCCTGATGTTTCGGCTGTATCTATGGCAGGCATCCTCAGAGGTTGTGAAGTCAATCAAGAATACCATGGTCCTGAATTTGCAGGACCTGACCAGGTTTGACGAGGATTGACTTGGAAGTCTCTCTTTCAAAGGACCACCATACAGTAAAACAAAATAACTTGACTGGAGTTAACAATAAAGAATTGTGAAATGGCTTTCCTAAGACTCAGCTAATGTGGTAGATTTATTTATTTACTTTATTTATTTACTTTATTTGTATACCGCTGTTCTCAGCCCTTAGGCGACTCACAGCGGATATTTATGTTAAAATATCCTGGTATTTTTTGGTCCGCTCTGGTATTTTTTAGTCTTTTGCCCTACCCATCACTGGAATGTGGCTCCCAGAAATTGCTCTGAAGCTGAATTTCAAAAGTTCCCCAACTTTTTCCAATGTGAGTTATGAGGCAAAGTCAAATTTGAATGATACTGTATTTACTCAAATCTAATGCTCACCTTTTTTGGCTAAATTGCCTTGCCAAAATTAGGGTGCATATTAAGGTGAAGATAAAGGTTTCCCCTGACATTAAGTCTAGTTGTGTCCGACTTTGGAGGGTGATGCTCATCTCCATTTCTAAGCCGAAGAGCTGGTGTTGTACCTAGACACCTCCAAGTTCATGTGGCCAACATGGCTGCATGAAGCGCCATTACCTTCCGCAGAAGCAGTACCTATTGATCTACTCACATTTGTATGTTTTCAAACTTCTAGGTTGGCAGAAGCTGGGCCTAACAGCGGGAGCTCATCCCTCTCCCCGGATTCGAACCACCAACACTTTGGTCAGCAAGTTCAGCAGTTCAGAGGTTTAACCCGCTGCACCACCAGGGGGCCAGGGTGCACATTAGATTTGCTTAATATGGCATTCTTAGTGCTGAGCCAAAGCAATAGGGAAAGTTGCTTCAGGAGTAACTGGAGCTCCTATTTGAGGGATGTCATCTGTAATTTAATTTTCATAGCTCAATGCTATATAATCCTGGGATTTGTATTCTGGTGAGACATCCACACTCTTTGGCAAAATAGGCTCAAGGCCTTGTAAAACTACAGCCCCCATGACTCCGTAGCATCAATCCAGGGCAATTAAAGTAGATTCATTCTATTTATTTTATTATTTATTTAGAGCTTTTATAACCCGGTCTTCTCAACCTCCGAAGAGGGACTCAGGCCAGCTAACAGCAGAAAATTCAACACAAATATAGTAAACATAATAGCATCATAATACATTAATACAAAATACATTAAAATACAGATCATACAATATCATACAATTACAAAAGCCAGGTCGTCTACAGCAGAGATGCACCCAAAGGTTTCTTTTCCACTGCTGAAAGCTTTGGTGCTCTAACACAATTGTATTTAAATAAAATAAATAAATAAATAAATAAAATGATACTGCCATTGGCCAATCTCTTGGAACTTATGAGGAAGTTAAATTTTAGAACATGACACATCAATCCTCAAAGGGCTACCTAGAAATACAAATATTGGTTCTGGAAACATTTTTCCATAGTTCCAGATTGGTGAGGGTTTTGGATTGTGGCAACAGTGAAGGAAAGTCATTCTGTGCATGTTCAATTTTCTTAATAGCTATCCAAAACTAATGTCTGCTATAGAAAACAAGATTTTGGTGTCAAGCCTGGGATCTGTTTATCTCCAAGGAGAATGAGATTTTATATTTAAGAATGTACAAACACTTAGAATTGATGCATTTAACACTGTTTTAACTGCTATGGTTCAGTGCGCTGGGATCATGGGAGTTGTAGTTGTACAAGGCAGTGACATCTCCGGACCATCCTCTGTTCTGATATCAGCCAGCATGCCAATGCCTTAAATCAAGAAATAGTTTTCTAAGATCTACAGAGATACTCACAGGAACACATCAGCAAGCAAGAGTCCAAAAGAGGCAGGCTAAAACCCGGAACCTCAAGCCACAGTTGATACCTAATGAGAAACTCCCTCCTGGGCACACAAAAGACTGGGCGACTTGGAAGGCGCTAAACAGACTGTTCTTTGGCACCACGAGATGCAATGCAAACTTAAGAAATGGGGCCACAAAGTGGAGTCCACGACATGCAAGTGTGGAGAAGAACAAACCACAGACTACCTTTTACAATTGCAGCCTGAGCCCTGACACATGCACAATGGAGAACCTTCTTTAGAGCAACACCAGAGGCACTCCAAGTGGCCAGCTACTAGTCAAAGGACATTTAGTATAATGCCAAGTTTTTTTAAAATATTGTGTTGTTTTTTAAATACATTACAATTATACCCTCAGTTTGCTTCTGATACAATAAATAAATAAATAAACAAGGTCTTTAGATTCTCTGTCAGAGTAATGGTGCCTTCCCAAACTTTAACTCTCAGGAATCCACAGCATTGAGCCATGGGAGTTAAGTGGTATAAAACTGCATTAATTCTGCAGTGCAAATGCACCCTAGGATACTATGGTTTTCTTTTCTTTTCCAAAATAATTTTTATTGAGGCAATGATATATGGTTTCTAGTAGATACAACAGTCTCATTCAGGCCCCTTCTATACTGCCATATATGCCAGGATCTGATCCCAGGTTATCTGCTTTAAAGTGGATTATATGAGTCTCCACTGCCAGATAGTCTGGGATAAGCAGATAATCTGGGATCAAGTCTTGCGATATAGGAGCAATGTGGAAGGGGCCTCAGTTTGTTGTTCAATCTTGTTGTCAAAGCTCACTTACTAACAAAATGGGCTCTGCATGTTGCTTATATTTTGAAAATTAAAGAAAATCCTTTTTTTCATGCCCGAATAACATTCTTTCCATCCTAATGCTGTTCAATTACCACTCCCAGCAATTCCAAAAAAAGTGCCTGGGTGTCCTTAAAAACAGGAAAACAACTTCACCACATGTTGTTGACCTATAACTTGAACACCCACAGACATGGGGCCAATTTCTGTGTTTCATGCTCTCCATCTGAATATACTGAACTTCTGTTTTTGGGAGGGAAACACAATGCAAACAGGACAGGACAAGAAGGTCCAAAGATATTGTATTTGTGGGCTGTTTGCAACACTTTATGCCAAAGAAGCTTGCTTTCTGTCCATCCTTGAAAATGTTGTGAAAGAAGGGAGTGTGAGAAAGAAAACACAATGCTATATTTGATTTTATTTCAACAAGAGACAGAAGTGAGCCTATTTAGAAATGTAGAAACACCGAGTGCATTGTCCTAAATCCCTAAACAGCGTTGAGCGAGGAAGCTGCAAAGCTTTTAACATCATTCCATGTGTCAGAACCGTCTTGTGATGTGACAAAACTTCCCACATACCATTAGAGGCAAACTTTTTTTTAAAATGCAGCATTTCAGCCAGGATTTGGAAACGATTTCGAATAAACAAACCCAACACTAGCATTCCTCTCTCTGCAATGACAAGGCGAAAGGGGAACATTGAAAATAGTGAAAATATACATATGACACACAACAGTTTGCTTTGCAAGAATCTGAAATAGCTGGTGTTTCAATAAATAGATGGAGAAATCACTAGTTGTGTACTGTATGTTTTCCCTCCCAGAGTGTGCAGTAATCCTCTCCCTGAATATGTTTCTTGATCCCTTTGGGAGCATCCTCAGTGCATCCCTCTTGCTCTCCCAGTTTTTGGATTGGCTCAATTTCCCTAAACACACTCCAATACAAAACATGCCTTTGGAAAGCAGCTGCTTCAAGGAAGCGCTCACCACTAACTAGGTCAGGAACAAAAGATCTGGGGAGCAAAATCATGGAAAGGAAGGGAAGCAGCCCACATTCCCCATGGAGCATGTCGCAGAGCTGACTTACCTTTCTTTTTCCTATACACACGCATATATATACATTGCCAGCAAAAGCCTGCCTTCCTCTGAGCACAGCAGCAGCCACATGCAGAGTTGCAACCAGAACCAGCCACAGCCAATCAGCAGCCAGCTGTCAGGGAGGAAAGCATGCTGGGAGACGTAGTCCCCACCTTGCCAAAAACTAACCTGATGGGAATAAAATGTCTTTACAGACCCTCCATGGAGATCCTCCTGTTTGACAGCTGGATTTGCGGCTTGGAGCTGCCATTCCCAGCACACACACACACACAAGCACATGCCTTTGCATGCAAAACTCCTCTCAAACCAGTGGGAGCAGTTTCTCAGCAGATGCTGAAAAGTCAGCACATTCCTCTGCATCCCTGGTGAATGATTCGGCATCGATTTGGAAAAATGTACATGCATTTCTTTTTTTCTGAAATTAATTTTTATTGAAAGATTACATGGTTACATAGAAAGTGGGGGGATATTGTGAAGAAGATAGAAAAGTAGGAAATAAAATAGAGTAGGAGAAGTTGCCAGGATGCAGAGAGGAGGAAGGAAAGAAAAAAATTATTAAAAAATTATTTTAAAAAATTATTATTATTATTATTTAAAAAAACTTAACCCTATGGTGTGCAAAAACCCCTTCAATAAAAAAAAAGGGGGGGGGGAGAAAAAAGCAAGGGAAAAAGAAAAACAACAACAAAAAAGGGGTATTTATTTATTTATCGTGCCAGGGGCAACCAGACAATTGTATTATGTTTCTAACAGAACAAAACAAACAAACAGACAGACAAAACACAAAATTTGCAAGCTTGGTAGTTGATTCAATGTCCTTTGACCAGTATCTGGCCACTTGGAGTGCCTCTGGTGTTGCTGCAAGAAGGTCCTCCATTGTGCATGTAGCAGGGCTCAGGTTGCATTGCAGCAGGTGGTCAGTGGTTTGCTCCTCTCCACACTCGCATGTCGTGGATTCCACCCTGTAGCCCCATTTCCTAAGGTTGGCTCTGCATCTCGTGGTGCCAGAGTGCAGTCTGTTCAGCGCCTTCCAGGGGGGAGTCTCTCATTTGGTAGCAGCCATTGGTTGAAATTCTGGGTTTTAGCCTGCCACTTTTGGACTCTCGCTTGCTGAGGTGTTCCAGTAAGTGTCCCTATAGATCTTAGAAAACTATTTCTTGATTTAAGTCATTGACGTGCTGGCTGATACCCAAACAAGGGATGAGCTGGAGATGTCACTGCCTTGGTCCTTTCACTACTGGCTGCTACTTCCCGGCGGATGTCAGGTGGTGCAATACCAGCTAAACAGTGTAATTTCTCCAGTGGTGTAGGGCGCAGACACCCCGTGATAATGCGGCATGTCTCATTAAGAGCCACATCTACTGTTTTAGCGTGGTGAGATGTGACGAAAGCTGACTGGCACAACCTGGGGATCACAACCAGACACAGTGAAGACATCTGCCCTTGCGCTCTGCTACTCTGCTGCTGAGTATGCATGCCCAGTGTGGAACATATCTCACTAAAAAAAAGGGGTGACTTTGATCTAGTCTTTGAAGATCTCTTTTTTTCCTGCATAAGTGTTGAGGATTTGCTTCCCTATTTTGGTTCTTCTTTAACCTCTGTTTTGTCCTTCAGGAAATAATCTGTGTTTTTCATTGTTTAAAGTAATGCTTGACTTTGAAGGAGAGAAAAATAAGGACATACGCTTCAACTACTTAACTACCGCAGCTTGAATTGTATATGTGAAGAATTGGAGACAGAAAGAAATACCCCAAAGAGAAGATTGGCAAAATAAAATACTGGAAATAATGAACATGGACGAATTAACTTATTGGTTATTGCCAAATGAAGGAATTCCAAAGAAAAATGTACATACATTTCGAAAAGCACCACACAAAGGGGGAAGAAGAAGAATTAGGCTACTTAAAACTGAAGGATGGATTTCATTAATGTAGAAATTCTTTCTCTGTGTATATACACAGATTTAAAGATGGGCTCAAAGTCAACCTTTAAAACTCTGGCATAGACACTGAGAACTGGGAAGCCCTGGCCCTTGAGCGCTCCAGATGGAGGTCAGCTGTGACCAGCAGTGCTGTAGAATTCAAAGAGGCACGAATGCACATTAAACACAGTGTGTGTGCCTTGAAACACTCCTGTGGACAAATGTTGATTTTGAAATATTCCAGGTGTCAGAATACTCAATTAATGGAAAAACAACCTATTGTAAACACTTTCAAAAATAAAATTTAGGGATACATGGTAGTACTGTTATTATATATATCACTGCTAACTCACTGAAGCCAGGACATGCGCAGGAAGGTGAGAATATAATGTAGATTTTATTTAAAAAAAATTAAATTAGTGGCCCAGCTATATAACCAGAGATTTATTAATTCTACTGCATAGACATACCCTTAGGCTGGATCAACACTGCCATATAAAATCCAGATTATTTTATTTGAACTGGATTATATGCTAGTGTAGACTCATATAATCCAGCTCAAAGCAGATAATAATAATCTGGATTATATGGCAGTGTAGAAGCACCCAAAGATCCCTGTTATCTGTAGACCTGTTTACACCAAAGGACAGAAGGTTGTCCATGAAAAGCATGGTGTAATTATTTGGCCTGAGTGTACACTGACATATAATCCAGTTCAAAACAGATAATCTGGATTTTATATGGCCATGTCGAAGGGGCCTTAGACCCCTTCTACAAAGCTATGCAAAATCAAGATTATCTGCTTTGAACTAGATTATATGGGAGTGTATACTCAGGCCCCTTCCACACAGCTGTATAAAACCCACATTGAACTGGGTTATATGGCAGTGTGGACTCAGATAATCCAGTTCAAAGCAGATTATCTGCTTTGATATTCTGGGTTATATGACTGTGTGGAAGTGCCCTAAGAACATCTGGAGGGTGACATTTATTATTCTGCCAAGATAGAACATGATTGCCAATGTTTGTATCACAGTCTATGCAACCTAGATCACAATATGTGTTACAAGAAGCCATAAGCGCTACACCCAAGGGATAATGAATATAGACAACTTGCCATGTTGTAAAGGTATGGTTGTTTAGTGTCCTTTGGACATATGAATGTGCTGTGATTTCTTTAAACTGCCACACATTTTAATGTGTGGTAAAGCTAGATTGTTTACTCAATTAGCTAAATTCAGAGAGAAAAAGAAATGTTGAGGAGGGGTGGCAAATTCCTGCTAACTAAAATGTCCAATGACCTTCTACACTGCCCTATAATCCAGATTATCAAAGCAAATGATCCATATTATCTGCTTTGAACTGGATTGTATGTGTCTACACTGCTATATACCATAATCCAGTTCAAAGCAGATAATCTGGATTTTATATGGAAGTGTAGAAGGGGCCATAGTGCATTGACTCTGTAAGCACTGTAGTGGTTTCACAGCACTAACGCAGTAAACGCCCCAAATGCAGAACTGCTGTTGGAGGACAGGAAAAGAGATTTAAAGATGGGCTCAAAGCCAACCTTAAAAACTCTGGCATAGACACTGAGAACTGGGAAGCCCTGGCCCTTGAGAGCTCCAGCTGGAGGTCCGCTGTGACCAGCAGTGCTGTAGTTTTGGAGAGGCACGAATGGGGAAGATGCAGATCAAGAATAGGGTTCCCCAGTCACCTACGGACTCACCGCCAGTACACCCATCTTGGAAGACAATCCTACTCGGACAACAAGGGATCGCCTAAGTAAGCAAGTAAAAAGCTTTCTATGCAAAAACCATATCCAGCAATATAGTTTATGATCCATGGCTAGAACCTCCCCACGCCACCCCCAACAAACCTGTATTTGGCAACAAGAGCTACCTGACTATGGAATAGAGTCCATTGGAAGGTTGTAAATCCTTCTTTGTTGGAAAAATTTGAGCAGAGGTTGGAGGGCTAATTTGTCTGTGGGTTCTTGTAGTAGTAAGAAGTTGGACTAGGTCCTTGGAATCCTTTTCAACTCTATTACACTGTGCAACATTTGTTCTTGGGTTATAAATATCATTTCCTAATTGGTTCCATCATAAAAACATGGGACAAGTTTATTAAACCACAAAAAATTGTTTTTGCGAGACATCCTGCAACACATTTTTGCTGAAGTTTTAAATGAATATCTCATGGAGTCTCAACCAATTCCACATAAATTGGGGCAGACACGAAAATGAAGTTTCTGGAGTATAATAACTGCTTTCAAAGTGCATACTGCACAATTCAATAGGAAATAACAGAAAATATTTCAAATTTTATTACAGAGTGTAATTCATCAATCTATACCCACTGAAAATTCAGGAAAATATTTTTTGTGAGATCTCTGTTCTTCAAGCCTCCTTCTGAAACTCCCTTCCACTCGAAGGTTGGCTAGCCTTCTCCTTGCTTTTCCTTTGTGGGCAGGCAAAGACATTCTTATTCAAAAAGACTTTTAACATGTAAATAGCATATCTTTTACATGGCTATTTTAATTCTTTCTAATCTTGTCTATTTAAAAAATGTTAAAAAACTTTTTACTGTTCTTTTCATTTATTTTTTAAATATTTATTGTTAATTTCTTTAGTTGTTTTAGAAGCTGCCTTGAGTCCCTATCTGGGAGAAAGGCAGCATACAAAGGGAATAAATAAATACACAAGACAAGATAAATTTGAATGATGCAATTTTACATAACCAGGAACTCTTCCAGTGGAGGATGACCATAGAACTTCCCTGGACATAAACCTACTCTAGGTATTGCTAAATCCTTCTGCACGATTCAAAGCAGTTTCATATAACTGAAATCACATTCAAAGATCTCAGGCCTATTATGTTTAATAATACATATTTAGTGTCCAGTTCTATTTTTAACATTGGTCAGGATCCAAACAGTTATCTGTAGATACAGAACTTTGATGCATTGGGCTGGTGCTTCTGAGCTTCTTCTATACCTTTTCCTCATTGTAGGTCCTCACAAACTCCTTGGTCTTCTAACCTTCCACATTATAGTAAAGGTAAATGTTTTCTCCTGACATTAAGTCCAGTCGTGTCCAACTCTGTGCGTGGTGCTCATCTCCATTTCTAAGCTGAAGAGTTGGCATTGTCCATAGATATCTCC